TTACCACTACATGCAGAGCAGTTCTGGGGCCGCCCAGCCTCTTAACCAAGGTGTGAAATTCTGAGACCACGAACCTGACTATGCCCTAGTGCCAAGGTTTAGATTTGATGTGGCTTTACATCAATACCTCTACATGGTTTCATGTGATATATTGCTTAAAATTTTACTTTTATCTTTGTACATTAAAATATTTATCTTAGAAATTCATCTCCTCCTGTCTATAGGTTTTTGTTGTTTCATTCTCTCCTTTTGACCAAATTTAATGTTCCATTTTCTTGTAGATGATTGATACAATGATAGATAGCATAACTCTGCCTTTATGCTCTTTTAAAATGTCATTACATTTCGCAGCCTTTTAATGTACAGTTTGACTATATGAATTGTGTTGGTTGTGGTAAGAAGCACAACTTCAAACACATCATGCAACGTGTTTGACAGAAAGTGTGTTGAAAGGAGGAAACATGGAAGAATTATCTTACTCAGACATTCTTGCTTAATTATTTCAGCATTATAACCTTGAGGTGAGCCACTGAATCTTAGCAAAGTGAAATGTTACAGGCTGGGCAACCAGGTTTGAGAGTCGGGAATTTCCTCTAGCCATCACTTCGATATCAGCTGTCAAGTCTGAGCATATTCCTATCCGGTTGGTACCATCGGCTTTACCGTGAGGTTAAAGCATCTAGAGCGTGAAACTGACATCTCAATTCCATCTAGTCCCAAGGTTTTAAAAATGTTTGCAGCTTTACCTCCATTCCTCCATATATCTTCAAGATATGGGGATTAGGCACAGGAACAGTTTTTGTATTTGGTGTTAATGTTATAAAATTGAAAATTTGTTGGTATTGATGTTTCTTGTACAAGTAGCACGTTAATTTTTCTTACAGAAATCTGCGATTCAGTCTCCAGTAAAGCCTCAGCTCCTGAAAGCAAGATTGTCGATATGGAAATCTGTTATCCAGAGCAAATTTAGTGATGGCAGGAACAATGCCAGGAAGATGGCACTGGAGCAGCTGTGTCATATGCTGATTGTGTTTGTTAATCAGTGGGGCATGACAAATGCCACTTGTGTGGAGAACGGCATATTACCAGTTCTTGAACTTTTATTGGCCATCACACAAAATTCTATAGTGAGTAATGAAATTTATCGACATCTCAGTTTGTCATCTTGTTCTTTGCAAATCAGTCCCTATTCTTGTTCGGCCTAAATCAATCTTTCCATTTACTGCTTTACCGATTTTTTATTTTTTCCGGGTGTCTTTATTTTTATGCATTCTGTTAATCTGTATAACCAACAAGATGTTCTTGAAATTTTACCCCGTGCGGAATTATCGTAATTTAATTTTCGCTGCCACTGACTAATAGCTTTAGAAGTGAGAGTAATAGACTCGAAAACCTACACTTACAGATTTACTTATCTTTATTTTCTGTGGTGAAATAATTTTCTCTGCAAGTATTCTTTGTGGTCCTGAATATTCTGTTTTAAAATTCGATCACAGAATAGACTGACCTTCATGTGTACTTCCTTTTGAGCTGTTTATTTTGTTTATTTGTTGGGTTTTTTTTGTCATAACATAGTTAAGAAAGGAAATATAAATCCCACAAAAATAGATATAGGTCCTGCATTAGAAGGATGCGGTACAAAATCGTGTTGTCATTTTCCTACCAGTTTCTTGTCCATCCGTCCCCTATCCAAACTACAGGTAAAACCATTAACCTTCATTTTAATATAAAAACAGTATCATGTGACTTCATGCAATATCCCAAGGTGTCCACTTAATTCCTGTCAAACCATGTATTTTCCATGTGTTAATATTGCATTGCAGCTCTTCATGTCTCCAGAGATTCTGGATCTTTGTTTTGAGAGTGTCGGCACTGCACTGACAATCAATTCGCCCGAGACGCTGTCCATCTGCTTTGTGTCATTACGGCTGCTGCAGACACTGATGAAGTCTCGCGAATCTTTGGTGCTGGATCGCATCCCTTCGCTCCTTCAGTGTTATCGACAGGTAGCAACAACAGTTGCTGCTCATGGTCATGTTGACCTGAAGTATTCTCCTGCAGAGGTTAAACAATGTGCAGTCTGTGCTCACAGGCTGGAAAGGTGAGTGATGTTCGTCTTGGTGATCTGAGAAGAAGAACAGTTGCCAGGAGCTGAGTTTCTCAACTGGTGGTCCACAAAACACTGCAAGTACATTCTGCGAGAGTTAAGGCTGGGGCCACACGCGTGGTTTGTGTGTTGTACCCTATATGCCCCTTCATAATTCTATGACGGATGTCATGATGTGCGTTACAGTGGACGTACTTTGTACGGTCATGTGGCCCCAGCCTAAGTAAATACCTGTGAGGTCATGGTCTGGGACAGTGGTCCCCAACCTTTTTGTGCCTACGGGCACATCTGAGAGTGTATGAGATTGTGGCGGGCACCGACCAGTTAACAAAGCCAAAATTTCTTTTCTCTGGACAAATAAGATATGGACACCAAATAATACATGAAACAACACGACGTTTAATGATACAAGAAACCGCACAATCAAAAATACGTAGTTTTATAAGTACAATTATTATTACTCAAGTGGGAAGTTAGTGGGATGTTTGGCGCTGCATTTCATCGCCCAGTTTTCCAAATTTGGGGGTGTAGGATGATGTTGCTGTTCGCAAACGATCATCAAGATGGGCGTCAGTAAGTCGAGATCTGCGCTTTGATTTTATAATGTTCATGGTTGAACGGCCTTCATTATTCAGTATAACCTCTTTCTGTAACAACGCGGGCGCCCAAAAAAAGCCTTGGCGGGCGCCGCGTTGGTGACCACTGGTCTGGGAAGTCACGTGCAGCATTACTAGCTGACTGAAAAATATGTGACAATGCCATTATTATTAATTATCTCCCTCTCCTTACTTACTGTGAATTACTTTGTTAAACCTGCTTGTGCTGATGTTAGCCGGATTATTTTGTCTTCTGCGGCATTTACATTTTATGTAAAACAAATGGAAAGTACCTTTATAAAATCACTGTCAGTACTTAAAATTACTTTAAATCATAAGTAATCTTTAAATCACTGCAAGACTAATACAAAATACAATGCAAAGAGGCCCAAAGTCCGCAATTCATATTTATTAGCGTAAGGGTCGGCGAATGTCTTGGCAATCTAAGAAACATCAGTATGTTTTATTGCAGATTGACAAATGTGTTCAAGGAATATAAACCACATTTCGCGAGAGTCGCAGCGTACATAGTGGCTGATTTCCTGCAAAACTTCGAGACATACACACTCTATCCTGAAGTCAAGGTCGGTGGATATACTTGTACTATTAATTAATTTGATAGTTTCAAAATGGCACTGGATGCAAGTCGAAATAATTTACGTATTGGATGATATAGCATATTCTAAAATGGGAGTTTTGAGTTTATTTTTTTAAATTTCTTTTACTTTATTCTAAATACAAGACAGTGTTTCTTCCAGATGTAAAATCTGAAATATTAGGAGTTATCTTTTAGTTGTCAACAAGGCTAAATACTTCACGAGGAATGTTTGTCACTGGTAGAAAAAAGCGCTTCATGTTTTCAGTGTGGGCAGACCATCTATTATGTAGGATTTGAGGTTCTCATGGCGGTGAGTCTGAAGATGGCTGCCTTCTGGGCTGTTGCGCCATGTAGTCTGGTAGAAGTTTACCGACGTTTCAGAGGTCCTTGCCTCCATCATCAGGGCGATGACTCATATCATCCATTGTTTTATATGTGCTTGGTGTATGATATTGTAGCATAGTCATTGAGAAATGACAGTTATCAGTAGAAGTGTTACGCATCACATACTTCTATAGGAAACAGATGTTAGAATTGTCAGAAATACAGTGTCCACAATGTCACTTCAGTGTTTTGAAAAATTGTGGCGCGCAAACAAATTGAGCTAGCGGTTTGCGGCAGATTACAGTGAAACTCTGGAAGTTTTTTACTGACCTCAGTAGGCTCGACGTGGGCTCCCTTGGTAGCACGGAGAACATCCAGATGATATTCGAGCTCTTGCCGTGTTCTCTGGAGCATGTCCGCTGGAATAGCCGAGATCACATTCCTGATACGGGTCTTCAGGTAATCAAGTCCGTTAACTGGTGTTCGGAACACATTGCTCTTGACATAACCCCACAGGAAAAAATCCAGTGGTGTTATGTCTGGTGAACGTGGAGGCCAAGGCATTGGACCGTCTCTGCCGATCCATCTCCCTGGAAATGTCCTGTCTATGTACGCGCTTACCTGCAGACCCCAATGAGGTGGAGCACCATCTTGTTGCAGAATGATTTGTGGCTGTAAGTGCTCAATTTGTGGTACTGCATAAAGTTCCAGCATGTCCAGGTAGGTGTTCATGTTTCTAGCATGTGGCTAGCTCAATTTGTTTGCGCGCCACAATTTTTCAAAACCCCGAAGCGACTTTGTGGACACACTGTACAGTAGTCGTAATTTGATGGCAATCAGCGATAGATAGTCGGTAAGCAAATCTGCTGGAATGTCGTGTTGCAGATCCACTACTCAAACTGTATACACAGTTTGCTGAGCATATGCGACTCCCACGCCATCCTCTTCCTGTCTCGCACTCTGACGCCAGCATCGCAGCTGCTGCTGAAAACATTCTACGACACCTATAAGAAGTTTCATCGCTTTACCGGCAAAGTATAATGTGATGGAGTCACGTAATATTTAAAGATTTTATGGACTCTGATTTCTATTTAGAACATGTTTATGTGGAAGGGTTTTATTTTAAATTTTATACATGTATATTTTCCAGAATAAATGTTTATTTAACGGATATGATAAATGTTATCATCACCTTTTTAGCCTACATTCCTGATTTTTTTAAGTAAGGAGAATTATGGTGTGATCGTGTCATGTGGTATGTATTTTTGTTATTGTTCGTCTGAGGAATTTAAAGTTTGACATGATTTTAAAAAAAATATATTTGCTGTAATTATGATTTTATTTCAAATTTATAGTTTTGTGACATCTAAAAATAATTAATCTTAACTTTGTTTATTGTAGATAAGTTATATTGCATATTCTTTATATGAGTTTGCTTTTGACAACTGTAAAACAGTATTGTGTGTCATTAGTATAGATCAACACATTTTTAATCTCGGCTCTGCTTAGAGATTAGTGGTTAGCTTCATGCCCCAGCCACTTTCCACACAAGCAATGAACCGCTGTGCCCATTTTGACATGAGGCTGGGTAGGCCCCAGAAGTGATCTGAAAGTTGTAGCAGAAAGAAAAATTCTGCCCAACCAGAATCGTACACAAGTCATTCAACCTATAATCTTGTCATTAAAGTGATATATCATTCTTAATTCAAGTCGGGATACAGGTTTTGAATTGTTGGTATTTATTGTAATGTATATATAGATTACAGTCTTCTGGGATGTTGCCATGTAGCCTCGTAGAAGTTTACCAACTTTTCAGAGGGCTTGATACCGCCATCGTCAGGGCAGTTGAAACAACCTCTGAAATGCCGGTAAAATTCTATCAGACTGCATAGTGCAACAATCCAGAAGACATCCATCTTCGTACTCACTGCCCTGAGATCCTAAAATCCCTAGGGTGCTGATGAGACGTAAAAGAAGCTATTGAAAGATGCACAGTGAAGAACTTAATAATTTTTACAACTAAAATATTATTTGGGTAATTAGATGATGGAGCAGCTGCCTCAGGTAGCAAGGATGAGAAATTCATGCAACATTTTTGAATGCAGATCGGATTGGATGTTCCCCGCCTCAGGTGGATTGCGCGTGTGCACTCTAACCATTTCTGTTTCAAGTGCATTGTACCCCGTTGGTATTACCTGTGCTCGAGTAGTTTTGTTAAAGTGTACAGGGCAGCATTCATGTCCTTCCTACTCCCAGCGGAGTTCTCTTGGCGTGCGGACCGCTGCAGAGACGAGAGAGTAGGCCTTGCATGCATAGCGACCAGTGACGGGTTCTTGTGAACACGGCATTGAACCTTCAGGTTTAAAAAAGGAAGTAATTTCTTGACCCGCTTAGCGACTACCAGTTTTTTTAGGATTCCTGGATCATTGAGGTCGTTAGTTAATTCGGACAAATTTCACGCATGAAACACGTGGAAGAAATCGTTTCAAATTGTACGGAACACCGAAGTTTAAATAGTATATGTAATATAGGTTAGTACATTACAATGTTGACAGTAAGGCCATTTCTTTCTTTTCTCGTGGTTCGGATGATACAGTTTAAAATTCTTGTGCACTCGGTAGTCATTTATTTTCGTATTGCAGGTACTCTGCGCGAAAGGCTTGACTTCCCTCCCCATTGGACAGGCCAAACACTTGGCCCTAAGCTGGGTACCATAGATGACCTTCTGAGAGAACTGCTTGTACCTGCATGCAATTGTCTGTCAGTCACTCTCCGCTTCGTGTGTTGTGACGTTGTGTGTTCTGGGTTGTTCTTCTAGTGCCCGAGGTGAGTTTACTGGTTGAAAGGGTCAGTCGTTTTGATGAAATGCACTCGAGCAAATACGTCCTTTATTTTTATGTATAATTTGCGTGATTGAACAGAATAGCATTTTGGACTTTTAAGATTTCTAAATTGTATTCCATATTGTTTCAACATATCTGAATGTTAACGCCACGGTGGTCTAGCGGTTAGAACGCTGGCCTTGTAATCCTGGGGGTCTCGGGTTCGATTCCCGGCGGTGCCCGAATTTATAACTTGTGTTGGGCAAGGCCGTGGTCTAGGCAACACGGAGTTTTCCTCCGTGGCATCCGAACAATTACTCCATTCACACACAGAAGAAGGCAATGGCAAACCACTTCTGGATCATCTGCCAAGAACATATATGAACAGGTCCCAGTCCGAGAAAAGGATGGAAGGATCCTGTTCATATGGACCTGTCGTCAGACAGAACACTAAATAAATAAATAAATCTGAATGTTGGAATATTTTCCAAATATTGGTAGTAATTTTCTTATTTATTTGTCCTTGTTTTTCTTTCATTTTCCGTCTATTTCGTTTACCGTCACTTGCTTTGTTATCATTTGGACTGAATTACGTACAAGGGCAGGGTAAGATTTTCGTTACTAATGTGTAGAAATTCACCAAGTTCAATAGGCTTTTGGATCACGCAGCCCTGTCCAATAAGAGTCATTCTCGAAATGAAAAGTAGCCTACATTTATTTTGACTAGGTTTTATTAGATTAAGTTATGTCATTTTGGGGAGGAGAGACTACTGTTGACTCCACTGTTGTCGTAAAGCATACCAGCAGAAGTCAAGACAGTCGGAGGACTTACACCTAATACTGTGATTGAAATGTTTGTAATGTAAGATCGTTGAGCATATGAACTTGCTTACATCTCCTTGACTTTATTTTCTATCTTCTGTGTATGTGGGATAAAGTCCGAAAATTCTTTATGCTTTTTTTCTTTGACATCACTCCTAGGCGAGCCTGTAAATTCTTCTGTTTTTAACGCCCTGTTTGTATTTACGCGCTCGTAGATACATTTTGAATTTAAGTACAAGCCTAAGAGAATCGTGTTTACGAACGACTTATCTCGATTTTAGCATTAAATGATTAAACTCAGTCTTGCATAGACGATATGGCATGTGTTAACTACTCGCATAAGAAGCTTTGCAGTGTCTGCTTTTTGACTGTCTAGTAATGTTTATTTGGATGTGAACAGAAGTTCATTTGACAGTATTTGGAAACAATTAGCATGACGTCGCTAAGGAATGGCGGCCTCGTAGGCGAAGGTCGGAAACAATTGACACACAGAAAGGGATCTTCCATCTTCTGTTAGAACTTCCGTCGTGAGAAACGTCTTTAAAATAACATTCCAAGATTTCATGAAAAACTCATGTTTGTGGTGGAAATTAGCAGGGGAATTTTCAATTTTGAGTGTAACAAGGAATTCCGGGCAAAACTCATGAAACCGACTTTCTTACAGCAGATGATTGGTTGCAGTTGTAAATCGCAAGTCTACACAAAAGCTGGGGGGGACACACACTCAGAGCATGGTGATTTCATAAGCTTACGTTTTTGTTTATGGAAGAAAGCGTCTTCGTGTATTTAAAAAAATATATTGATAGGTTTTGAAACAATTACATCATATCTGAATTCGGGATAGGTTAATATAGTGGTAACGGGGTAGACGTGTATTCAAACTATTTGCCATAAATACACACTGCCGACAAAACTGAATATTAAAATATGTAGTAAGTGTAATAATGACATAACTGTAAACGGTTAAACAAAATTGTGAAATCACCCTCGAATTGGTCTAGAATAGGAGAATGAAATTATCACTGGGCGTCGAGATTTTATTTCGAAGTGGCAGCTTGCCGAGGAACCTGACGATAAATGTTGTAAGCTTATTCTTTTAAAATTAACAGGCTTCCTTCATAATTCACGTCTACTGAACGTAATTTATATGTATGCCAAAATAAATACGAATTTAATTATTAGTAATTAATTCCGACATATTTCAAAAGCTGATTGTTGTTCTCGACTCTCATTTTTACGCGTATTTTTTGATTCCATTTTTTGCCTACAGGTGGGTCTGTCTGTATCAATCATAAAGTCGAGTTTTGCCAGTTGCATGTTCCATCACAGCATTTCTTTATACCCCAAGAACACCAACCACAGTTTAAGAAATCTTTTCCAAGTTAAGTAATCGGGATCATAAAATACGTTGATTTACTGCAAATAATTACTAGATATTTACCAATATTTAAGTTCACAATTTCTTTCACTTCAAGATAATACCATCCGAACTCGCGGTAAAGTAATTGCCCACCCCTGAGGTACAGAGCCAGACAATGTAAACGCCTCTTTAATAGGGTCCTGAAGAACAGAATTTTTTTCTAAACACCCCTCATAAAGTATTTACCTTCTTTGTGTAATATGACTGTAATAAAACGACCCATTCGTCTTGCGATGTCTTGATGTTGAAGATGAAAGCTGACAGTACGTTGACTCCATTAGTTCTGTGTACACACACACGCGACGTGAAACATCCCTCATACTGATGTAAACACATCACGTACATTTGTGTATTGTGTTAGAACCATTTTGTGTTTAGGCTGAGTTAACCCCGTAACCAGCCAGGGTGTGCCTTTGCAGGGATGTCACAAATAAGTACGAGGTAATCTTAATTGAAAAGTTCATACTCAGCTCTGGATTCCAAAATGTTATCAAATTCAAAAGAGCCCGCCACTAGAATGATCATGCCCTAAGTCAGACTAATTTTGTCTACTCTCGCAACCTCCTTCTCTAAGATAACTTTGTCCGAGTACTTAATAAATCATCACGCCATGCTGGATGATTCGTGAATCACATTTACATACCCTGAAGTAACCTGGAAATTCTGACTCTCAATCAACATTACTTTACAATATGAACGCGATTTCGTATGTTTAAGAACGAGATCTCTTACTTCATTTTACAGCGTTGCTGACGTAAGGATTGTTGCATCTAAATATTGAATACGTAGTCTGTTCGGTGCTGCCTCATGTGGGTCATTTCTGTACTATGAGCAGTAATCGGGACACCACTCTTATTTCCTTGAAAGTTTTTAAATTAAATTACAGAATATGAGACTGGTTTAAGGTGAAATACTTCACTACTTGCATCAGACAACGTCTTTGTTAGTAATATTACAATTTATTCCGCCCGGAATCTAACCGTAGATATTTTTATAACCGCAGAAAAGTGTCGTGTTCTCATTTACTCAGAAAATGGAAATCTTAAAAATCTTGGTCGATGTCCATCACACTTGTGCTTAAATAGTTATAATAGTTGCCATGACAACATCGTTAAAAGTTTCTCCGCTTTGTGGTTTGCAGTACTGATTATAAAACCGGACCTATTACGTCTGGCTAGAACAATTCTCATACCCCCGCCCTTCCCAGTGTGTGCACAGAGTACTTGACGGTTACTATTGCCACACGTAGTAGTGAATGGCGCGCAAGGAACTGCCATTGCTTATTTAAGCCTTCTTTCCCTGGAGATTCGCTCCGATGATGGAGGCAGCACGGGCCTTTGAAACGCTGGTAAACTTCTACCGGACTTCGCGGTGTTACAACCCAATAGACAGCCACATTCGTGCCTGAACTGTGTTCAGCTTGTGTATGTTGTTTGAAAAGGGCGGGATTTTATACTAGCTACCCCTCGCCTCCTAAATAGGCAATTCGTTCCTGGCCTAGTGCTAAGCAATATGGAACAAATGAGGCAATTAATATGTATAATGTGAAACGAGCTTCCAGTTTTACGTCCTGCAACCAACATGAATGAGGGTGCGCTAGTGTCCTACCCCGATTTGCAGATAGACGACCGGACATAAGCAGCTGCCAGGAGTTTTCCGGTCCGGTGCTCCTGTCATTACACTGCTAGCTGATTAACTTCCGGTTCTAAATGACTAATTATTGTTATTATTCTTCCTCTTTCCTCCCCAGACAGGAACAAACATCATTCAGAGACAACTTTCTCTGACACATAGAGCTCATGCTTAACTGGTGTTTCAGAGGAACGCCCAGATAGCCGTCTCTAACCCGATCACCAGTTTCAAGGGTTTTGATGCAGGTAGACAGAAACCTTCGGTCATCATAGTCCGTTGTCCGACCGAGATTCGAACCTGTGTTGGTTGGGTTGCGTCTTAACATATTTTTCCTCCCCTCCCCTTTCCTTGCTCTTTCTTTCTCTTCGTTTCATTCCTTTTTCTTTTCTTTCTTACGTTTCTTATCTTTGTCTTTCTGTCTGAATTATATTTTTCTTCCTCTCTTTTATTCGTTGTTTCTATTTTATTTGTCTGTTTTCTTTTTCTTGCCTATCTGTATTATTAGTTAATCTTTTCTTTCCCTTTTTACTGCTGTTTATTCTTTCTCTCTTTCTTTCGTCCATTCTCCCCATCTCATTTCTTGTTTATTTCTTTATTTTCAGTCAGGTGCTTGAACTCTGGCCTTTCAAAGACCTCAAACCACTCTGCACGCTCCCATTTTGAAACACCACTCTCCACCAAACCGCATTTCAATTGTTCAAACTCAGACCCCCACCTCTAAATCCGTCTTATTTATGTCTTCCTCCATTACAACTTGCTACTGCTGTCTGCCTTCAAGTGGTGTTTCGAAATATGAAGGATGTAACCTGTTTTTTCACTCCTGCAGAGATGTGTTCCCTAGCATCACAAAGCTGGATTCATTTATACCACTTTTGTTCTCGCAACTGGTTATCTGGAATGGACCAGCGAAACATACATCACAGTCATTCGTTTTTTGTTCTGCTGTGCGTTCACACCTACGTGAAGGGTGTGGTCTGCCCGGAGAAGTTAATTTAAGGATTCAAGATCAGTCCACAACGCAAGATGTGTGATTGGGCCAGAGTTGCAGGTCATCTACAACATCTAACACTTTCCACGTGTCCATCCGTCACTAAATTGTATAGCCCTAATTGTGCTTTTAAATCCTTGGAAGAAAGCAGTAGGCTTTATAATTTCCTGTGGCGTTGTTTTGGCATTAGGGATGACAGTGATAAAAAAAGACACCGAAGAAAAACATAAGCCCACGACTCAGCCCAGAAGAAGCGGTGTAAGGCATCGTATACACAGTACGAAAGCCTAGCATAAGGTTAGCAGTTTCTTTCCAAATCTTATTGTTTTCATGCAGCTGAGAGTTTTCAATATGAACACAAAATATTAGAGTGCACTTGACGAAAGGTGTCCTTTCATAATTGTACATGTTGTCACATGCTTACCAATGTCCGTGATATTTTATGTTTGAAGAGGTCGGTTTTAAGCGATAGAAATTACATGTAGTTATGGAAACAAGTATCTTTAAACAAAACGCAGCTTGGATAGTATTAAATGAACCGGAATGGTCAGTAGAGTGACTAACAACGGCATGGGTTCGATTCTTGATGCAGGAAGGGATTTGTACCTTCGCTATTCCGTTCAAAATGTTTCTTGGGTCCACTCAGCCTCTCCTCCAATGGGTACGGAGGACTGTTACCGCGGAGGTAACCCGTCAGGAGCTTGTAGCTGACCGCTAACCAACATCAAGTGCCGAAGTGAACGCGTGGAGCTACACTTCCACTCCCCCAATACTTGAGGACGTGGTGATTTGTTGAGGGGCCATTTACGTTAATGGAGTTAAACGGTTACATGTAAGAGACAGAACAAAGTAATTTTTGGGCAGATGGTAATCACCCAACTGGTCAAAAATTCCTTTTTATTGAATTTGAATGTCCACTGCCATGCTCACAAAAAGTCTACATAAATTCAGTCTACGTCTACTGATCCTGTTTGTTTTCGACCAATCTTAATACAGTACGACCCCGTTATAACGCGGGTTGCTGGGGACAGGGGTAAACCCGCGTTATTACGGGAGTGCATCGGAAAAATCGGTACAAATACTGGACGTACTGTACGGTACGTACAGTATTGATAGACTATCTCCATTTAAGAGTATACATACTTATGTTACAATTGATTTTTACGGAAAAGTAATAAATAATTAATTTGGCTTTCATTTTAATATACTGTACTAAAATATATCGTACTACTGTACTTTTTTATTTACAAACACTATGTACACGCTATTTATACACTATTAAATACTTTTTATATATCAAGAACTACCCAAAACGATGGCTATTATAAAATAAACATCCTGTTTATAGTAGGTCTGTTAAGCCTAAATAGTTCAGTACACTTTCCTACGTTATGAGTCATACTACAACGTACAGTATATAAATAAAGGCTTCTGAATAAAAGTACAGTATGCACAAAAATTATCGCTACTTCGTAGGTAATGTAACGGTACATGTTAAGAAATGAATCTTGATAATTGATACACTTTTTTCTTTCTTTTCTTTCTTGTTTGCTGCACTATGGGGGACATGAGGTACCCGCGTTATATCCGGAACCGCTGTATAGCGAACCGCGTTATGGAGGGGTTTTACTATACTATCCTCAGTGCTCTTCTTTTCAACCAACATTTTGTGTTCATTTCTCATAGCAAGGGAAGAAATAGCAATCAAAAATCAGTAATGTTGTGTAGCTTTCCGGTGTGTTACGTTGATCCTTGGTTCTTGTTTCGATCCGTGTTGTTCAAGTGAACAGAGAATGTGTGAATGTGAGAGAGGGACAGAAACACGAAGAATAAACTGCAATGTCGTGTCGATTCGTGGGTCTAAATGATATGCATAGCCTTGTGCGAAGCCTAAACCATCGTCGACTGCCTTTCTACGTTTGAGAGCAACACTACAATGCAGTCTTTCGAAATAAGCATTGAACAGTTAATATTACAAAGTGAAATCTCTGTATTATGTAAGAAGACAGAATAGTCAATCCTAACAGTAACCGTCTGCCGCGTTCCGTCATGTACTTGTCTTGTATCCAGTTGAATTTCGATTAAACAAGCTCATGTGAGCAGAAGTTCTGACAATGGTGTAACCTTCGTTCACAATTATTCAAATGCTCAACAAGTAGCTGTTTTATGGACCTCGGAAGTTTGTCATCGTAAACTGTCTTCTGTCATTTTAAACCAGTTCACGCCACTAAGCGTATTTATCTGATTTAATTTAATAGTATCTATGCATCTACCGAGGAATTTTTACAAAATTGCAGACGAAAATTCTGGAGAGAAGAGATTTCTTGGGAGGTAAGGGGCTTGGATGGAAGGATAGATAGTTACTAAAGCTGATCTTGAGGTTGTGAAGATGTGGACTGGATTCATATAGCTCAGGATAAGGTTCAGTGACTGATTGTTGTCAACGAGGTAATAAACCTTTGGGTTGAATAAAAGTCAGGGAATATTTTAACCAGCTGAATGATTAATGGGTTCTCAGTAAGGCCTTAGCCTTAGTAGTCATCTGAAGACGTGTTTTACCAGTCTTGTTGTTTGCCATTATTCTCTCCTCGGGAAGAGAAGATGCGTAGGTTTTCCGTTAATTTCCTGTCAACGTTTCTTCGAAAATAGCTAATCCTCTCATTTTATCTACCGTGTTCCCATTTACCATCACTCTTATCTTTCGTAGGTAAACACTTTGAGTCATGCATACTGGTCTACATCCTTCCTTCTGAATACCTGAATTTCATATAGAGGCAAGTCAGATTTGAAATAAAAACTGTACGTCTCCATGATCTGCTCTTTTGTACAACAATATTCTGTCTCCAACAAGCAATATTTAAAAAATAACCAAGAGACGGATAACTTACCAGAACGTGCCACTGAACTAATATCAAATTTATTCTCCAAGTGTGAGCTAGGAACAAGAAAGGGGCAATGTTAAAACATGTCCCTTACTTGAAGATGGCTGTCTTCTGTGTTGTTGCGCCATGCAGTCTGATAGAAGCACCTCTGAAACGTCGGTAAACATCTACCAGACTACACGGCTCAACAACCCAGAAGATAGCCATCTTCACACTCGCCACTCTGAAAACCTGAAATCTTACAATGTCCCTTTCTTGCCCCAAAACTAATTTGTTATTTGGTTGGTTATTGTAGCGCAACACGGAACTTCGATCAGCTTTTAAAAACAAGACAGAAGGTGGTAATGAAGAGAGTGGGTAGAGCGAACAGTTTCAGGATTCAGGTAGGGGATTTTGAAAGCCTTCTGGAAAAAATACGTGTATGAATGTTTCCAGAGGTAGGAAGAGGAGGAAATGTGAGAATTTGTAGGAAAGAAATGTTATACAGAGATAAGATTGCAATAAAATATGCAAAACTCAAGGGCACAGTGAAGCTAGCTGAACAGGATGTCCCTAAATGTGACAGGCGTTACTACAAACGGCTAAACTACGTTTATTCTTTCTAGAGCATATATGATGACGTTAGAAACCGGAAATTTTTTGGGATAAAATTAAAATGTGGCATTTTGTAATTTCCGAGCAAAAAGAGAACATCTCCATTAATAAATTTGCTTTTCTAATTCTTGAACAAATAAACATTGTTCTTAAAACTAAGCTTGTTCGTAAAGGATGCACAAATTAACATTACATGCAAAACAGAGCACGTAAAACTTGTGGAAAAGTACGTATCATTCATATTCTTATTACATCAAAGTCTTTAGTTTCAGACAGAAAAGGGAAGAAAAGAGACCACTTGCGAAACCTAGGTGTAGATGGAAGGATAGTATTACTTTTTATTCGTCGTTCTTCAAAGTATAGATGGGCTAATACGGTTAACGAGAACGCCTCGCTCCTGACACATAAAATATGCCTACTGTAACCGTTCTCCTCCTTTGTCGCTGACCGCAGCCTCCACTACGATGTTGTTGGTTGGGATTGTTCGGGATCTCTCAGGGTTCGTTGCTCGGCTCAGCTAGTCGGTCTGCGTCGACTCCCTCTCATTCGGTGTCACGGCCAGTTCGTAATAGCCATATTGAATACTCGGATTGTTTGGAAGTAACACAGTATTTATTTAGGACCTGCGCGATCCTTGATGTTTTACACTTTGTAGATTTCACAATTCTCTCAACTGCACAACCACACGCTGACTTCTCAATTACCTCCTTTCTAAATACCGTAACTTGAATCTTGAATATAAACTCGCGATAATCTTGAATACTGAATACAGAATACTGGGTACAGAATATAGAATACCGAATATCCAATATCAAATAGTAAATAAAGAATGTTTATTGAATGGAATCCCCCTCTGCGGCCATAATAACCCCTTTTATACCGTAAGAACCCTTACGGCTCGACAACCAAAATTCCCAGCGTTGCCCGAAAGGAAATGTAACATCAACTCCTATTGGTGTGGGTCCAGGTTCGGTTCGAAAGACCTCCTCTTTTTCACCCAACCCTCAGGGAGTCCCTCCCACACTCTTACTTCCAAAAGGGCATCGCTAACTAGCTGCAAAACCCACTTAGGCTAAGAGCAGATAATTCAAGTACAAGGGAACTTCCAAGTCCAGGAACTCCTAAAACCTCTGCGTTCCCACGTACTTCAAGTACCGCTACATCACTTAGCATCGGCTGTCCATAGTCGATCCCAAGCTTACAATATTTCCGAATATAAATTAAATACACAGGAATCATAAACTAAGAAAAGAGAAGCAGGACAATAAGTGGATAATACAAAACCTTATTACCTAGCAGACAAAAGTTGGGTTTCTTACAAGTACAAAAAAAATAGCGAATCCTGGGCAAGATTACACTACATAATTGTAAATGAGGAATTGGGTTGATGTAGCTTATTTTGAGGCATCGTTCTGCGATTTATTCAGAGGATATGCCACCTAATATTTCAGTCCGGATAGTCTTGTTTAAGCATGCATTCAAACCATTAAGTGTTAGGTAAATTATCCTTGCAATTTGTTCTTCAAATGCGGAAACAAATTTGAGGATGCGCTGCTTACCGTGTAAGAAATTCGTGATGGTATCTGTGGCTTTAGTGCAACGCACTTGAAATGCTTAATATAATTTCGGTATGATGTCACAGTCAAGTAGAATTCTAAACTGGGATTTGGCAACATCTTCGTATAAGGTGCACTGAACTTACATTCCATTCGGAGTGTGAATAAGAGAAATCTCATGAGAATTCCCCACGATTTGTGTGTAGTTTCGATATTTTATGTAAACGATTTCCTTATCTGTTAACTTTCTCCATTTATCTACGAAGATTGGCTACTTGAATATACAAGCATATGACGGTTCCCTCATTGGTTTGAATGTTTATCAAGAATTTGAAATGAAATTGTAATAACTGTTCAAGGATGAAAAATTATTTTACGGGTGAACTATATATATTTGCGTAATGATGAAAAATAAATTCATACAGGCTAAGAGATGCAAGACAGTGCCTTAAGAAATGTTATGAAAATTGTGTTTTATTGCACTTTGCTCTCGCCTGGGAAGGAGACGAGATATTTACAGACCTTGTTACACCTGGAATTGAAGCCGTAACACTCTTTTAACGCTATACTGACAGAAGAATAATCCATTACGGGAGTCTCCGTTGTTGATTTGTAGCTGTGTTTAAATGTTTGCCAGAATCGACTGTACGCTACATCTGAGATCACTGGTTAATTATGCTATTCGCGTATCGTGTTTTCAATGATTTGAGACCTGGCATCTGCCTGTAGACATTTCAGATAGTAGCAGTGGAATGCACAACGCGAATTGATCGTCATTTGAATGCATCTTGAGCATTGTTGGAACAGCTTTGTCTCACCAGAAATTTCCGGCGTTCTGCATGACAGATTTTATGCGGGTGTAGAGGGTTGTTACCCTTATTGAACAGAAAGCATTTAAAGTGAAGGTAGCAAACTTGGAAATAACGAGAAAATAAATGCATATTTTAATTTCTTCAGGTATTCTAATATTTCTTTTACACTCCACGTTAAGCTAACCATTTACCTACAGAATACAGCAACGATTTCACACTTCGAAGCAAGAATTTCTCATGAATGGTTTTTAAAAAGTAGTTCTTACATATATGATTTACAATGCGTCTCCATTACAAATATTTAGCTATTGGTTAATATTTGCTATCATTCAATTGAGAATATTTATCTTAATTTCTCCTATTTAAAAATGTGAAGATTAAATTATAAAAAAATCCAGCTTTATCTGTTTTCTGTATGGGCGTGTAACTTTGTTTTTCACCTTACACAGGTGTTTGAGATCAGGATACTGAGGAGAACAGCTGGACCAAAGAGAGAAAGCAGCAAAAGAAGGAAACAAGAGAAGGAAAAATTACATCAGTGCTTTTGAACTTGTTAATTTACTTCGTTCAGCAAAACCAACGTGGCGACCGGGCGAAATCTGAGATGTGACAGCATTTGACGGTTTTTAATATAAGGTTACGTGTAATAACGCAATGCAAAAGAGGGAATGCACAACTTTAATTAGGGTAATATCAGTGAACAGGCTTTTATTTATGAGTTTCTACAGTGAGATTATTTTAGAACTTCCCTCATGAACCGCACAGGCTGAAGAGTTGGACACTTCTGCCGTCATGATGGCCCGCGGAGATTCGGACAGGTACCGGGACCCTCAAACCGAACCATCTGTACAAGGCCTACATGTTATGCCGGTAAATTGATAACCTATCGCTTTAAGATGGGAGTATAACCATGTCTTAGAACGCAGTATATATTAAATCTAATTGTCGTATTCTTAAAATAGCTGACCTAGAGCTATTCTTGTACTGTTGATCCAGTATATTTAAACAGTCTTGATGGATTTCTTATGAAGTCCTTGAATTGGCCTTAGATAAATGAAAGCATTATTCCAACTTTGACAGCAGGAAACGTACGTAGTTGGTTAATTAATCATAATACCTTGTTATTTTCATTTTATTGTGTTGACCTACATACAAACGCGTAGTGAATGACGTTTCTTAAGCTGATTGATCTATTTATTACATTTTGTTTGCTGTTACATTACAAACCATTAACTTGATTAACTCCGGAAGCTTCTCAAACGCATCAGTCTTAAAATAAATGATGAGTTTTGAGGCTTCACTGACCTTGATGAAATCTTTACTACAACTCAAAGCTAACCTAACCTAACTGTCTGCTAAGACAGTGTTTTCATTGATGTCCCAAAATAATTCAAGGACTCTGAGCAAGTTGACATATGAATAGAAATTTATAAGAATTCTAAAATTTTATCAAATCCAATGTAAAATAATTCTGGATTAGTAAATCAGAACAAATTTTATATGTTATCTGAGTGGGATATGGCATTTTATGAAGCCATTGTGTAAACCAGTTGTTCTAGACCGGTAGTCTACGGTTTAATTTATGTTGGTTCTTATGTTCTAGTTGGTTTTATTATGTAGATTTTTGCGCTACTAGAAATATTAATATTTTTGCATAAGGATGCAGTGTTTTGGGATTTGTAGCTGCAGTTCTCAAAAGTGTGGAGACTTGCTACAAACATTAAACATTTGGAAAATGGATGTAATAAGATGTCAAATTTCCCTCGGTTCTTAACTAAGCGCACACGTATGCGCGGATGAAGTTAAAGCTTTCTTAACCTCAACACTATATGGTAATGAGGGGTACGTGTCCTTGATTTTTAAAACACAAAGTTTCTTTCTCCCCTCTGGATACAAATGTGTTGGCCATGTTGTCGAGATGGATCAATTTATATTCTGTTCGATAATTTGTAGGAAAAGACCACTTCATTTATTTCTGTGATGAAAACTAAACGATCACCGCTATTTGAAATGATATATATCTGCTGTCGCTTCCATTGCTAGGCAGGAAGTCCTTTGTAAAATCCTTCGATTAGTGTCTAGACGTTATATCGCTTTGTTAATGGGCGCAGCGGCATTTTTGTTTCAACGTTGGTATCGCGCTTTGACTGACTCGCCGCATGATGGCTCTGCAGTCGCCTTGAACCTATGCGGCGGACATGTAATGATCGCCAGTGAAGTGAATGGGTGTAGTGTGTTTTTGACTGAGGTGGTTGAGAAAGTGGACTGTCAGCTCCGATTGTTAGCCAGCGCGTGTTGTTCAACATGGCGGGATTCTGATTTGAGAACTCCGTGAGCGTGTGTTCACATTCTCGTGGCAGTTATCTGTCATAATTGTGCCTCTTTTATGACTGACTGTCAGTGTTATTGAGATGTGACATTGTGGATTGTTTTGTGTGACCTCATGGTGACCATCCACGTATGACACTATTCAAAGCATGACCTCGGTGCATGTGGCCACCACAGTGATGGCTACTGGAGAGGGATGGGATTCCGATGGATCTCTCAGTTGGGAGGATTTTTTTGGTAAGTAAATGAATATTAGTTTCACCTGAAACCCTTACCTAACCTCGACTTTGGTATTCTATGCCGGTTGTACAGCTCGTTACGTCTTTAACAAATTACTTTGCATGTCCGAACGTCATGGTGCAGTGGTCAGCACATTAGGGAAGTACAAAGTTCGATCCTCGGTCTGGGTTACCGGCTATCGCATCAGAGTCTTTCTGTGGTCTTCATTCGTTGTCAAATCAGAACTATCTTGTTGTATGGTGTGGCTATTGTAAACTGATGTATCATGGCGTATCTAGGGCGGGTAAATGTTTTGACAAATTAGTTTTCTTATGTTACAAAATTATATTGAGCTTACTGTTTGCTTCTGTTTGAAAGTATTTCATTGTTTATTTAAAGGTTATTTGTCAGCCGCATTGGTTGTTTTGTGCCCATTGGGTGAAATAAACATGAATTGTGAATGTTAAAGGTGTGTAGAAAAGCGGTTGTTGGTTGCTAAAGGCAATACTGCTTGGAGGGTATGAGGAAAAGCATGGCAACCTCAGGATAACTGGCCTTCGCGGCCTTGAACCGTCTCCCGAGAACACGATGTCACACAATCGATCATATCTTTATATCGTGGTTTATTATGTACATAAACAAGGGTATGCATGCAAGAGGTATATTTCAGTCTTAAGTTTTTAGACAGGAGACCTAAAAACACAATCGTCTGAACTGAATTTAGTGTACTTTCTTTAATGCAATTTTGGTTTGTTTCTGGCTTAACCAAGTATATGAATTTTTCCACATTTTCTAAGGATTTGTTACCAGTCTAAATATTATGATTTTGCCGTGCACTCTGGTAACTGCGTGAGATGGGAAGAAAGTGTTCGAAATCAACATTCGATCTAACTTAGCCCCTACAACATAGCGCCAGTCTGGGAATTACGTTAACGTACCGTGGTTAAAAGACACGTAATTGACTTACTGCTATGTTGTAAAGATAAAGTTTTAAATTTTGTAAGTAATTTAATGGTGCTGCCAGTCTCTGTCGAACATCAGAATGTAATATTCAGATACAGTACGCGACTGTAATCTTGAGACTTGCAATGAATGCAGGAAGTTCGTAGCCTTAAAGGCAGCCGCTATCTTACCTCCTTCACCCCACTTCCTCACCCCGCAAGTCTCAAGTTTACAGTCGCAGACTATAGTTTTAAATGTTTATTTGTAGTATGCCAAATACAATTTGACGTCTGGGTTCAATTCTCGGCTGGAATTACGGAAGTTAAAACATGAATTAATAAAAAATTATATGTGACTGCTCACAGCTTGTATGTTCCAATGTATCTTTTGTTCACAAATGATGGTGAGCGATGCAGTTATTAAACCCGTGACTTAGCGAGTTTCACTGCTCCTATACAAACTTGATGATCGTTACTGTAGCATGAAATATTAACAATAATGTAACGAATTAGTCATACTGCGTTCCATACACAGAATGGTATGTACATGACATGCAGATTAGGCTTCAGGTTGACACACTTTATCGCATATTTTGTGAGAGAAATGTGTCCTTCGTACCTTACAACAGGGGTGTCAACATTGAGAGATATAATACGCTATGAGGGCTGAAGGATTCTCTACCGGAACCAACACAGAATTGAACACTACAATAAAAATAGCCAAATTGCCTTGTGAATCTGAAAGTTAGGCCTGCCTTGCCCCGCAAGAGAATTTACGTTTGGATCCACATTTGAAATGCAATTTCGTATCACATGTGAGTACACACGTCAGTGATTCTTAAGTGGAATTTCATGAACAAGTCTGTTCACTTGTGTAGGTTTGTGTTACCAAATTCGCTTGCAAAATTTTATGCTAACCTAAGTAATTGTGAGAACCAAAGGGTAATTAAACCTTCCTACCGTGTTCACGAGTGCCATATCCTAAGCCACATGAATCCAGTTCATCAGAAGGGGCCTAATACTTGTACACGACAGCTTTATGAATCCTGTACAATTGCTTTGTTTCGTTGGGTATAGGGTCGTGGGATACATGAATAAAAAATGTGGCAGTCAACAGTTCGCAATAAGGGAGTGAAACTATTTCGATTGTACAGCTGTAAACTGTCACCGCATATAACCAGTGTGCACTTAACTTTGTAACGGTCTGTTTCACAGTCGGTAGAGGAACAAAGGTAGTAGGTGGATGGACGTGTGGTCATGCTTTTCCAATGATACTTGAGGACTCGCTGGCCTTTCCTTTTTTTTCGTGATTGGAGTGAAGACAACAGTGTTTTGAAACCGATGGCCCCCCAAGCCGTTAGCACTCCGCTGCGTCACGTAAGACAGTTTCTAAAATTGTGCTCGAGATGTCCGCGACTTGAGTATATTCTGCTCTTTTAATTTTGATACCGTATAATTGCTGTCAGTTTTAAGGTTTTTGTAGCATTTTTTATTCCACATTGGAGTATAAGACATGAAGAAAAACTATACGTTGTATCCATATTTTACCTAGTCTATACGCTATTAAGAGTGTTAGTAAATTGGGCTTAATACTGCATACAAGTTTACAAGAAAAAATGATGAACTCTGTTTAAAAAGACAAAACTTATAAGGGAAGAAAAGACCGATCACACTACATCGCCTGTAAATTTCTTCATTCGAATTGTAATATTATTCAATAATTGCCTTTTTTGATTGGAAGATGGGATTCATGAGCCACGAGGTTGGACTTGTGAAAAAAACTGTGTTCATATTTTTGTTTATGATTTCAGACTAAAAATATGTCATAACTGCGCATCTCGAAGAGATGGACTGGCAGCTGATGTATGAGAGAGTTTCGAATTTAAGAGTACTACAGCATCTATTGTCACCTACTCGAACACTAATTTCCGGGACGGAAATGAACCTACTAAGATCAATCCACATTGAATAGTTGAACGTACCCGGCGTTGCCATTCTGTCCTGTCAGACGTGTCGCATTATTGATATCGATTGCTTTCATTAGGTATATAATTATATTTGTGATGCTGTATTGAACACTGGACACAATGCATATTGTTAACCGATCTATTCATTTCAGTTGTATTCAAAAGTCGATGTTGAATAGGACGTTTAATTTTGTATTCAGGCTTTGAACGTCTCCGGATGTCTACGGACGAGGGAGACTCTGGAAGAACGGGATCAAAGAGACTGTAATAAGACATGTCAGGGACTCCTACCATGTTTTGTCTGGTACGACATTCCCAGTTTTGTCCGTTTTTGTCGCCGTCAAATTTCTTTTCTCCCACTGACACAGTTAATTCCATTGATCTGTATGAATGGACGACGAATCTGCAGGCAGCAAAGGATGGCACCGTCGTCCGTCGACGGCTGTGTTCCTTGCATGTGCAAACTAGGGAAGTAGGTTGTGAGGTGGCGGACTGCTGCGATGAATCTTCCGGTTCGTGCTTCTTACGCAGTTGAAAGTCCTGGACTCTCGCCATAGAGACCGGCTTATCTAGGTTTTACGTTGGTCTGCCTGGTATATTCTGTCACTGACGACGAGAAGAAAGACTTTCTTTTTCTTCCCTTTTTTTATCAAAGTTATCGTCATCTGCATAAGTATGAGGTAGCATTTAGTTTACTTTAACCTTGCAGTTCTGGGATATCAGTTGCGGCCTTCTGAATTTGCTCCCGCCGTGGTGTTGTACGTGGTTACCGACGTGTAAGTTTCAACTTGCAAGACAACGCGGTATCACAGTCCAGAAGACCAAAGTTGACATTTTCACCGTCTTGAGAACCCTATCTTTTTATTCTGGAATTATGTTACCATTTACATGGCAATGTCTACCACCTGCTATAACCTTCAGTAAATATTTATTTCGCCCATAGCTTGTTTTTTTGTTTTATCACAGGCTTTTTTCACATTATAAGTTTGAGGCTTCTAACGTATATGCGATGTTTTCTTGTAACCACAATTATTTTAAATGAGCTGCCCACTTCCGCACATT